TCCCTTTTTTTTTGGTGGCTGGCTGGTACAGGGATCGAACCCTGGACTTTGGTGTTATCAGCTAACCAACTGAGCTAACCAGCCACCCCTGAATAACCACTTTTTAAAAAAAGTAAATTCTAAAGATTCTACAAAAAAAGCTAAGTTTAACAAGGTCTTAGAATACAACTTTTAAAATCAATTGTATTTCTACAAATATGCAGCAAACATTGGGGAAAAAACAGTTTCAAAAAAGCAATCACAGATATATTCTCCCTATGATGGTTAATTCTGTGTGTCAACCTGGCTAGGCCACAGTACTGATACTTGGTCAAACAGTAGTCTTGATGTTGCTGTGAAGGTATTTTTAAGATGAGATTAACATTTAAATCAGTAGATTTGGAGTAAAGCAGATTAACCTCCATAGCATGGGTGGGTCTCATCCAATCAACTGAAGAATTCAAGAGAAAAATTAACTCTTTCCTTGAGGAAGAGTAATTCTGCCTCCAGATGCCTTTGGACTCAAGACTGCAATGTCAGCTGTTCCCTGAGTCTCCAGCCTGTTGGTCTGCCCTGCAGATTTTGAACTTGCCAGCTTCCACAATTGCATGAGCCAATTCCTTAAAATAAATACCTCTCTATGTATATACACATCCCATGGGTTCTGTTTCTCTGGAGAACCCTGACTAATACACTCCCCTTTCTGTCCAGTTCATTTATTCTCTCTTTAGCTGTGTTTGATCTGCTGTTAAGCCTATTCTCTGACTTTTTAAACTTCAATTATTATATTTGTCATTTTTAGGGGTATTTCCCCCCACCCCCAATCTGTTCAGTCATTTCTTAGTCTGTAGTAGATTGTAATTGTTGCTCCCAAGTATTCTCTCCCCTCCTTGTAAGAGAATTATACATTCCTGTCTGTTGCCACGTGACCTGCAGTTCTTCCTTGGGGAGAAGCACATCTCCACACTCTGTTCACATTGGATTTGGCCATGTCTTTGGCCAAAGGACAGACAGGAGTGGCAGCTCCACGTCCAAGCAGAAGCTCCAAGAACCATTGCAGGGACTGGCATTCATTTTCCCTTTTGGCATGTACTTCAGCCTAGATCCTGTAATGAGGAAGTCACTGGGATGAGAGCAGACCAACAGGGACCCTTAGTCACATGTAGTATTTTTATATTTTTGTTGTAAAAAGCCACTGAGATTTGGAGTTCATTGTGACCACAGCAAAGCTGAATGATTCAGTCTCTTGTGCTTGCCTCACATTATCAATGCCTCTTTCGCTTATTTAAATATGCTGAACACACCCGTATATTCTCTGACAGTTTCTATATGCGTCTGAAGTCTTTGTGGGTCTGGCTCAGCTGCTGCGGCTGCTTCTGTGGGCCCTTGGTCACGTTGCTTCCCTTTTGGGTTTTGTGGTCTCTCACTGTTAACCCTGAAGTTTTGTTTGACCACCTAGAGGGTGGGATTTGGGTCTGCAAACCTGCATTGCGGCTGCTTCTGTGGGCCCTTGGTCACGTTGCTTCCCTTTTGGGTTTTGTGGTCTCTCACCGTTAACCCTGAAGTTTTGTTTGACCACCTAGAGGGTGGGATTTGGGTCTGCAAACCTGCATGAGGATCAGGTTGAGGCTATAACTTCTCAGGAAAAAGATTTTGCCCTTTCACTCAGAAAACAAAACCAAAACCAGAATGGTTTCCTTGTAGTCCCTGATGGCCGTGTAGTAGGTTGAATGACAACCTTCAAAGATATTGGGTCCTAATCCCTGGCACCTGCGAATATGACTGTTTTTGGAAAAACGGTCTTTGAAAGTGTAGTTAAAGAATCTCAAGATGAGAAGATCATCCTTGGATTATCCAGGCGAGCCTTGAATGCAATCACAAGTGTTCTTATAAGAGAGGAGCAGAAGGCTATTACACACAGACAGAAGAGGAGAAATTGATGAGAATGTGGAGGCAGAGATTGGATTGATGTGGCCAGAAACCAAGGAATACTGACATTTGGAAGAGACAAGAAATGGATTCTTGTCAGAGCCTCCAGGGGCCCTTTTAATACCTTGATTTCAGCCCAGGGATACTGATTTCAGACCTCTAGAGTCCAAAACTCTGAAAGAATAAATTTCTGCTGTTTAAAGTCATCAAGATTGTGTAATTTGTTATAGCAGCCCTAGGAAATGAAGGTAGGAGTGGGGGATGGGGATTCATTTATTCTTAGTTCACCCTTATACAGACAGGGTAACTCTTTGGGATTTCAGGTTTATGGGGAGGTCTTCTATACATCCCACCTTGGGTGATCCTTGGGTTTTTATCTTTTTTCCCCTGAGCTCTGTGAGGGGATAAAATCTCACAGAATTTATCAAATACCCTCAGGATGAAAGGTGGCACTTGACCAGCCTCTCCAGTTTTTGGCTTCTGATTATTCCTTCCTTCCTTTTTAGGAAAATTTTGAAAAGTTGTTTTCTAAACATTACATCCAGCATTTTAGTTGATTTCACCTGAGTGTCAGGGAGGTTGCCTAGACGGCCATTGCTTTGGATTGAATGTTCCCCCAAAACTTAATCCCCACTATAATTGTTGAGGGTAGGAAATCCTATTATGGTAATTGAAAGAGGGGGCCTTTAGGAGGTGATTAAGTTGATGGCTTAATGGTGGGCGGGGGTGTGGATCTGAGGGCTTTACATGAGGAGCACTCTCCCTCTCTCTTTCTCTGCTTCATCCTTTCTGCCACATGACACTCTGCATTGCTGTAGAGTCACCTCTTTCAGGCTCTGAAACTGTAAGCAATAAATGTCACTTTCTTACACACATTATCCAGTTCCAAATATTCTGTGCATTTGTCCCTAATGTTGCTGAAATCTTGCAGGCCAGATGACAGAGGCATGCATTTACCATTCATCATGCCAGGGGCACGAGCAGATTTCATTGTTGCAGTTGGTCAAGAGAAAAACTGGGGCTGTTGGATATGTGGGAGGACTTGTTTTCAGCACTATGCAAATATCCAGTGTGGGAGGTGGGGTGTGTGTGCAGAGTGGAGGTGAGGAGACAATAGATCTTCATTTCTCAGTGTGGGTAGAATCCTTGGTCACTGAGTTGCCTCTAGTTCCACCCCCAACACACAAAATCCCAGGGTCTTCCCTAGCATGGTGAGACAGGATTTCAGTTGTCAGCTACTGGCCCGGGAGGTCCTGTGGCTTTCTTTCCCTCTTCCTCTCCTGCAGTGTGCCTCCCCTTCTTGGTAGGGAGGCTGTTTGTCCCCAGCCCCCAGCAAGCCAATCTTGGCCTTCAACTGTTCTTCCTTGAAGACCTCCCACCTCTGCAGGAAAGTGCTATCTGTCAAATCCCTCTGCTGGGAAACCATGTAGAGAGAGGCCTCCTTCCTGCCTTGCTCCTGCACCTGACTGGGTGGATTTTTAGGACTGGGAAATCCACATCCACTCCATTTCATTTTCCGAGGCCTGTTTGGGGTTTTAGATACAAACAACAGAATCAGATTCCGGCAGATATTAGCAGAAAAGGAATTTCCTAATATGATACTGGGGAGCTCACAGAATCTCTGAAAGGGTTGGAGAAAAAGCCTCAAGGGGGACACAGGAAGAAACAATGTCCAAACCAGATCCAGTCTGGTGGGGACATCACTGCTGCAGTTGCTGAATTCCCTGGCCATGGACACTTTTGCCAGGACCCCTGCCTCAGCAGCTGCACCTGTCTTCTACCTCAAAACTGGTTCAGAGCCTGGGTTGTGTGTCCAGAGCCTAGCAGCAAGGGTGCTGGGGAAATGAGCACATGGCACTTGAGCCCCTCAAAAAGGAGAGGGGTTCACAATTGTAAGATGAGAGAATCTTCAAACATACAAAGGGATTCAGATGCATGACAGGCAAAAAGAACACCAAGTGCCCACTGCAGGAATAAGATTAAGAATGGGATAGGGATAGCTCATTTTTGTCTCTCCCAAACCAGACGCATCCACATCGGGTAGAACTTAAGACCACGGTCCGTCAACCCCACATGCAAGGAGGAAGAGCTTAACTGGGTGTAGATCTAGGGCTGGAGTTCACAGACCCCTCAAGCCTATTGTCCAGACTGGGTCACAAACCCTTCACGTGCAGATCTAAGAGCTAGGTAACAGGAAAAGATCCTTGGAGCCCTGGGTGAAGAAAAAACAGGCTTTATTTTTAGACACGAGAGCAGTTCAGAGCGCTGCCTCACACAATGAAGAGCACAAAAAAATAGCAACAAGCCAAAAAGATACATGGGCACGCATGCCAACTAACTCTACTCCCACACAACTTGTTTACAAAGGATGTGCTGCATCACACCCAGCTGGACCTGAGGTGAAGGGGTCTGACCGAACTACTCTATTTTCCTCACACTGGGGAAGGGAATTAATTTCTGTCTTGTAAAACCAGCCCCTGACCAGAGTAAGCCCTTTGCAGGTGCTAAGAACTGAAAATATGCTAATGAAAATAATTTAGAAATATGAAACTGTAAAATGAGTATAGGGAAATTCAACAAACTTCTGATCTTCTACCATGATGCTTCACTTTAAAAATGTCAGACAATTTCAAAAAGCATTGATGGATCTGCTTTAATGGGCCATCTGGCAGAGAGGAAGGGGTATTTGCTGCTAGCTTATGTTTGTGGAGGTAGAATCATTCCCATGAGATTATGTTGCTGGTAAGAATAGCTTTTTTGAGAATAGCATCTATTGAGCACCTGTGATGTGTTGGCACTGGGGTAGGCTTTTTTATGGAGCATTACCAATCCTTAGGTCTTTTCATCCTCATGTACAGATGAAGAAACTGAGAGGCTAGTAAGTATCTGGGTTGGACTTCAAAGCCCAGGGCCCTTCTATCTTTTGAAGCTTCCTAGACTGAGAGCTCCCAGATGACTTTAGGACCTCACAGTGCCTGGTTGGCAGCAGGCAGGGACTAAGACATACCTGTTGGATAAATGGACCTCAAAAATGGCAAATGAGAGCCTTGTTCAACATCTAAGAATTACAGAAATGTAGTACAATTAACATATACAATTAAATAGAGAGTAAAACTTTAATAGAGCACCAGAAGTATGTAAAATGTGTACAGGTAGAAAAATAAATCTAGTCAAAATATCCCCGAGAATACAAAAGGTCTGCGTCTGTACAGTGCTGTGCTGACCACTTTTGAGGTGAGGGTGTTTTTCAGATGGTCTATTGGCAGTTTGGCAGGATTTTACAGCATCTCCATTTTCATTCCTTTTAAATATTCTTCTCACAATTAAAATGTGGTCTTTATTTTAGTGAGTATAAGAGGCTGAAAATTATACTTCTCAGTGGTCTTTTTTTTTTTTTTTAATCATTAAAGCCTTTAGAAAGCAGTGAGTTCCCAAGATGGAATATTTTTACCAGGTGAATCTTTAAAATCTAGCTCATTGGTTGTTCAGGTTTGTCCAGTGTCTGAGAGTTCTAGATGTGGGGTTTGCTCAGGTGATCTTAGAGCCTGTCTGTTGTTCTGATCACCCCATGAGGCAGATGTGAGAAGCAGGGGTCACTGTGTCCACCTGTGTGTTTCTTCCTTAGAGACTAGCTCCAGGGGTCCTGGCCCAGGGGGAGTCCTGAGGCCAGAGCTGTCACCAGGATTCTGCTTGTGGTTTTCACAGTCTTCTGTGATGACGCTTAGTTTGTCAAAAACATCATTCTCATCAGAGAGTGGGAAGGAGAAAAACAGAAGCGTGCTGTGATGAGGGTGGCCCAAAAACTGTGGAACAAAAAAAGGAAAGTTAATTATCAAATTTTCCCATTACTTCTTCTGCGCTTACAAAGATTTTATGCAGGACTCCTGGCTGGAAAACACTATTTTCAAAATGTGACAATAACAGTATGATGGTTCCTCAAAAAATTAAAAGGGATTATAGGATCACCATATAATCTAGCAATTCTACTCCCAGGTATATACCCCAAAAATTGAAAGCAGGGTGTTGAAGAGATATTTGTATACCTGTGTTCATAGCAGCAGCATTAACAATAACTGAAAGGCTGGAAGAAACCAAGTGTCCATTGACAGATGAATGGATAAACAAAATGTGGTACATACACACAATGGAATATTATTCAGCCTTAAAAAGGAAGGAAATTCTGTTACATGCTACAAGATGGAGAAACTTTGAAGACATTATGCTAAATGAACTAATCCAGACACAAAAAAGACAAATACAATATGATTCCGCTTACATAAGGAACCCAGAATAGTAAAATTCAGAGACAGAAGGTAGAATGGTGGTTGCTGGGGGGAGGGGGAATAGGGAGTTATTATTTAATGGGCAGAGAATTTCAATTTTGGAAGATGAAAAAGTTCTGGAGATGGATGGTGGTGACAGCTGCACAACAGTGTGAATGTACTTACTGCCACTGAACTGTCCTCTGAAAAATGGCTAAGGAAGTAAATTTTATATGTGTATTTTACTACAATTAAAAAAGATCTGGGCCGGCCCGGTGGCGCACTGCTACAGTGTGCCGCTTGGGAGTGCGGCGGCGCTCCCGCCGAGGGTTCGGATCCCACATACAGACCGGTTCCCGCTCACTGGCTGAGCGAGGTGTGGGCGCAACACCGAGGGTTGCGATCCTGTTGCCCGTCCCAGTCCGGTATGGGCACGACACTGAGGGTTGCGATCCGTTGCCGGTCACGAAAAAAAAAAAAAAAAAAAAAAAGATCTGACAAAAAATCTGCAACTCATTTGCCAAGTGATCACATGTCACCCTCTGATAGTTCCCCTTTTAAACCAGGGAGGGGATTTTTTGGTCTGATCACGATGCTACGGGACTGACATAGCCCGGGTGTCATTTCCTCCAGGAAGCGGGGACGTGGCAGGTCCTGGATAAATGTCTTGGAATAACAAATAGACTCTCTCATGCGTCCTTGGGCTGAGTTAGGGGACCCTCTTTGGTGCTCTTCAGTATCCTGCCTGCCCCTCAATGTCAGCCCTTAGCCCTGCGCCATCCAGTATGGCAACCATGAGCCAAATGCGGCTACCGGCTGCTTGAGATGTGGCTATTTCGAGTTGACATGTGCTGTAAGTGTGAAATACATACCATATTTCAAAGACTTCATATGAAAAAAAGAATGTAAAAAGTCTCAATAATTAAAAAAAAAATACTGATTACATGTTGAAATGATGGTATTTAGCTATACTGGGTTACATAAAATACATTATTAATTTTGCTTATTTCTTTTAATGTTTTAAAAATGTAGTTACTAGCAAATTTAAAATGTGTGGCTTGTGATATTTTTCTGTCAGACAGTGCTGCCTTAGCACATGGATGGGCACTGACTCCTCAGTTTTGTCTCTCCTGCAGACAGGGCTGGTTAAGGACAGGGGCCACAGTCCAATCATCTTGGTCTCTCCAATGCTTTGACCAGTGGAGATGCCCATATATGCTTCCTGAAATCTCTGCTGATTTCACATTCTCCCTTCTTCATCCTTGTAGGGCCACCAATGTACTTAATTTTGACAACTGGATGGAGAAACATTCTTTAAAGCTTTGCATTTTTAACCCCTCCCCTCCAGGTGGAATCCTTCTGGTTCCATCTTTAATCTACCAGTCTGTTCCTTTCTCCATGTAATTTCCACACTTGGCCTTTTGATATGACTTAATTTAAGCTGAGGGCAGCTGCACTACCTATTGGTGTGGACCTGTCAGAATTTCCCCTCCTGGGTCTTAAGCAGCTGATGGAGGGAAAGGGGAACTACAGTCACGGACTGCATATACGGAGGACCCATAGGATTATAATGGCTACACCATATAGCCTAGGTGTATAGTGGGCTATACCACCTAGGTTTGTGTAAGCACACTCTATGGTGTTTGCACAATGACAATATCACCTAACAATGCATTTCTCAAAACATATCCCCTTCTCCCCCCATCCTTAAGTGACACACGGGCAAAGGGCAAAGCTGGGGGAAGGATAACCTCTGTAAAATTCAGATCCAGTGGATTCGTGAGAACAAGCTGGAAGCTACCCTGATTCTCCTGGGAAAAGGGGAGAGGAGAGGAGAACAAGGAAGATGTTAAATTAAATCTCAAAAAAGCAAGTGTCAGGCTGCGTCTCCTGGTTGGACACATACACAGAAACTGTAGCCATCTCAATAGATCAGTGTTGGATAAACCTCGCTATTGCTTTTCCAACTCAAAATCTCCATCCCCAGCAAATCTCCCAAAACTCAAAGTGATTCTTTGGGTCACGGTTAATGGGTTCTATACATTATGAGTCAAACTGGGGACTTTGGTAATGTGGGGGCCCCGATCAGCTCTGTAGTTTCTGGAGGTTCCTTCGCTCTCATTCCTCTGGTCCTTCTCCAGCACCCTGACCCCTTACTTCTCAGACATCACAGGGTCTCCTAGTCTTGGATGCCAGAGCTCATTCCTGTACTATGTTTGTCTTGGCTTTGACTTGCCTGTCTGCACATTCATTCCCTCTGTCTTTTCCTGTCTGATCAGTCTCTTTGATGGTGAAGCCAAAGCAAAAATAGGAGGTGAATAGTTTTGCTTCCTGTTGGTTCTCAGTTAACAAAACACCTTCTACCCAGAGCAAAGGGCCCACCTCTCTTTGTTCTTCCTGCTGCCAACTGTGGCTTCTCAAAAGCTCATAGAGGAATCTTAGTTCATTCTAGAAGATTCTTAGTTCATTCTGGTGCTGTAGTCGTGCTGGTACTCTTTTAGAAGGTTCTGGCTGGCACAGAATAGCTGTAGTGCAGGGATGGAGGCTCTGTGTGAGCCCAAGAGCAGGGCTTCCTCTCACCACAGCTGACATAGCTGCTGCTGCAGCTGAATGTCTAACCTGCCAGCAACAGAGATCAAGGCTGAGCCCCTGATGTGACGACATCATCCAGGAGACCAATCAGCCATCTGGTAGCAAATTGATGGGACAGAATCTCTTGCACTCTGAAAGGGACAGCGGTGCATCATGACTGGAGTTGACACTTCTTTCAGGAATGATTTGCCGTTCATGTCCTTCAGGGCTTTAGTCAGTGTCATTGAGGTTTTACAGAGTGTGTGCTCTGCTGGCACAAATTGCAGCTTGACTTGTGTCCCCACAAAACTCACATGTTGAATTTCTAACCCCCAGTACCTAAGAATGTGACCTTACTTGGAAATAGGGTCTTTGCAGATGTGATTAGTTCACACTGGAGTAGGGGGAGCCCTAATCTAGTATGACTGGAGTTCTTATAAAAAGGGGAAACAGACACACACAGGAAGAAGGCTATGTGAAGAAGAGAGCAGAAACTGGGGTGATGCTTCTACAAGTCAAGGAACACCAAAGATTGTCAGCAACTCCTGGAAGCCAGGGGACAGGCCTGGAACAGGTGCTCGCCCAGCTTCAGAAGGAACCTCCCTGTCGACACTTTGATCTTGGACTTCCAGCCTGCCCAATGTGAGATGATGTATTTCTGCTGTTTAAGATATCCAGTTTGTGGTACTTTGGTATGGCAGCTCTAGCAACTTATACAGATCCCACATAAAATTATGTCAGACCAAGGGACACGCTGACAGCAAAGGAGGCCAGGAATGGGCACAGGACCCTGGGATACACTGATTGTGCCACATGCTGCACCGCCTGGCTTGTTAGAAGTGCATGTGAGGGGCCGGCTTGGAGAAGATGAGACCCTGTGAGGATGGGGCACTGTCCCTCAGCACCTCAAATGAACCCAAAATCAATGACCATTATGTGATGCTGTGTCCCCAGGAGGGAGAATACACGGGTTCAGGAACCAAGGGGTGGACGTAGGACTGGCTCTGCTTACCATCACTCCCGGTGACCTACCTACTTGGGGAACCAGTGCTCCTTGTCTGTGCAACGTTAGGTCCTGTGAGTCTGAAGCAGGGGTCAGCAACCTATGGTCAATGAGCCAAATCGGGCTCACCGCTTATTTTTTGTATGGCTCATGAGTCAAGAATAGTTTGAGATTTTTAAATGATTACATTTAAATGGTTCTATAAGTACCTCTATAATTTCAATTTTACCTCTTGGCCTGTGAAACATAAAATGCTTTTTACCTGCCCTTTAAGAATAAGTTTGCTGACCCCAGTCTGGAGGGTTCCCAGAGGTGGTGCGTTTCCTCCAGGGTACAGTAAGAGGCCATTAAACTTTAAGCTATGGCTGCTGCCTCCTCACATTGGATTCCTCATGCCAAGAGAGCAGCAGGCAGGGAAAGGAGTCATCACATGATCACCAAGAGGAGACATAGCTGCTGCTGCATTGTGGAGGAGACCCAGGTAGGGCTGCCTCCTGGCACTCCCCTTCCGGGTTCCAACAGCAAATGGACAAGTACGGCAGCGGCTGCCTGAGAAGGGCTGGTGACCAGAGGCTCAGTCCTCGCAGGGATGATGGTCTGGGTCACCCAGTCAGGCCAGCAGCCCTTACGCAAATGGACAAGTACGGCAGCGGCTGCCTGAGAAGGGCTGGTGACCAGAGGCTCAGTCCTCACAGGGATGATGGTCTGGGTCACCCAGTCAGGCCAGCAGCCCTTACCAGCAGAGGCTAGTCATGGGCCAGGGGAGAGGCAACTCTTGAAGGGATAGCAGAGGAGGGAGAACACGAGTGTCACTTGTGTTCCAGAGACCGCTGCAGTGCTGGACGCAGTTCCTCTAACCTTCCTCTTGTAACCCTCTCCAGGAAAAGAGTCAACTCAAGTCCCGGAGGAGCTGCTCCCAGCGGACCCAAGCGGTCTGAGGGGCAGAATGTAATGGACTCTGCGTGGTCTCCCACCTGCCAGGAATACCAGCTGCCCAGGTCTCAGGCCTCACCCTGGTTAGGCCCCCTTCCTGGGGGTGGCCCACATCCAGCATGATCAATGTGGGGATCATAGGGTCGGCCCTCTTGCCTCAGCCTGGGACATCTCTAAAAGGCCATCCCAGCTTGAGAGCCCCCATGGGACTGGCTGAGGCCTCTGCTGTGACTGTGTGACAGCTCGACCTCTGTCTCTGCCCCATCTTGCTACCATCACTCCCTTAGAGGTATTATTCCCAAGGGTACTGCCCACTAAGCCTTTTGAATGCAAATCACCATTTTAGAGTCTGTTTCCTGGGAAATAAGACCAACGATAGTCCTTTTTTGGGTTTGGGCTTGGCATATTTTCATTTTCAAGTGTCAGTATGTATCCAGAATTTCACTTCTTAGGGCCTCCTCAGTCCTATAGTCTTCAGCTAGGTGCATCCTTTCTTCTTTCTAAATTCTTTTTCTTATTTTAAGACAGTCAAGTGCAGTAGTGAGAAGGGGGAAAGAGCAGAACAAGGAGTTTGATCTGCAACTGACTGTGACAATCACTTGAGATAACTCACTACCTTTGGACCAGTCTTCTTTCTAACTCTTCTAAAAATAACCTTCCTGAATCTAGACTACACATCCCAGAATTTCAATCACTCTCCTAAGTTCCAAAGCTGAAGAACGTGCCTCTTCCTCCCCCCCGTGCTCCCCCTCTGCACTTAGGCTACAGTTTTCTTTCTCATCCCTCCACCCTTCTTGTTCCCTTCCTGCCCCAGAACTGTCCCTTTGCTCCCAGAGGACCTGGGCTCTGGGTGGTGAAGGCTGAGAAGGAACAATGTCCAGGCTGCAGGGGGGCTTCTGGAAGAAACCTTCCCCCTTTCCTTGGTGCTGCTCCTTCACCTTAGACCTCTCTGAAATGGGCACAAGGGACTGAACCAGCAGCAAGATGTGGTCCTGACCTTAAAGGAAAACTCTTTCCAATCAGGGTTTTCTAATCCACATCTTGCTCCTTCCTACCTACCTCTTTGAGGTGCTGTGGAAGGGAATTCCTGGTGGAGAAGATGTACTTCGTCTTCTTGTAAATGCACCAAAGCAAGGCGGAGCAGCCGAGAAGCACCAGGAAGACGGCAAAGACAGAGGCGAGGAGGAGGATGGCCACTAGCCAGGAGGGCATCGTATCTGCAGGGACAACAGGGTAGGTTACATTCTTGTCATGTACAGGGTGGCTCACAGTGAACTTAACAAGTTTGGCCACCATAGTCCAGTGGCAATCCTTGAAAACGGGCCATATGTTCTTCTTAGAAGATGTCTCAGAAACACAGCAGCTGGTTGTGGTATCCAGGGGTTTTCAACAAGTTTCACCTCCTTTCTATGTTCTTCAAAGACTGGTTTCTGGCATTGTTGCTGATATACATAAAAAGAATAACAAGCAAGAATTCTGATCCACTTTACCTACTCACAGGGGAGCAATGAGCCTCTCTGTTTTGGATATACCTCTTCCGCCTTGTAGCAGCAGAACCGACTACCATGAGCCCCTGAGCCCGGTTCAACACAGGCACCACAGTGTTTTGTACGAGAACTGCAAAAACTCTCCACATGACGGACTCCATCCAAACCCCTGCACTAAGAGACCAGACCAAACTCCAGCACTGCTTCTAGCTGCCTTAGGCCATGACCCTGGGATGACCCAGCCCTCCTGGAGTTCCTTCCAGAAAAACTCAAGGCTGCCTAAAGAACTTACATTTGTTCTTGCCAGCACCTGATGACAGGCCCCTGACCTCTCTGAGAGCATTTACTAAAAAGGGCTTACAGCTGTGAATCCTTCCTCTTGCCCTCTGAGAAATAACATATCTCCTACAACCCAGGAATGTCTTTCTCAAGGACACAAGAGCCATTCCTTTGAAAGTGTCAGGAAGGACAGGGCCTCTGTCCCCAGGCTCTGTGGGAGGGTAAAAGCCTAACTGACAAATGCCAGTTCACAGACACAGATGGCCTAATAGCTTTGGCACTGGGCCACCCTCTTACTTGATTCTTGTAATTTTTTCACTTCCCTGATTGTGCTTGAGTCCCCGCTTGCTCCCCGCCAATCCCTCATTCTCCTTTTAAAACACCCAGTCACCTCTTTCCCCTACTGCAGTCATTACTGAATAAAATCTGTTTTTACCACTTGAACAACATCCAGCTTTGTTTATCTTTGACAGAGCCTAGCACGTCCCCCTGGTCATTTGCCGTTCTACCTTCTCTCATTCAGCACCAGGCACCTTCTCCAGCTGCCCTGGGCATCTAACCTCCTGTATTAATCCATTTATGTTGCTTATAACAAAATACCTGAAGCTGGGTGATTTATAAAGAAAATGAAATTTATCGCTTACAGTTTCTGAGGCTGGGAAGTCCAAAGTCCATCTGGTGGTGGTGAAAATGACTCAGGTCTCACATTGCAAGATGGTGGAAGCAGAGAGAACAAGAGACAGAGAGAAAGACAGACTCTCCTCTTCTTTTAAAGCCCTCAGAACCACACCCCTGACCACCATTTTTAATCCATTCACTAATGCATGGTCCTACAATCCAATCACTTCTTCAAGGCTCCACCTTTCAATTACCATAACAGGATTTCCCACCCTCTTAACAGTCACAGTGGGGGCTAAGTTTCTAATACATAAAACTTGGGGGACACAATTCAAGCTTCAGAGAGTTTTGGGGGACATGATTCAATCTACTACACCTCCCTACGCCCAACTCCTGCCAAGCAGCACCCCCACTCAAGCAAAGCCCAATGCATCTGGTGCTGAGAGGAGCCAGAAGAACAAAGCCTCCCTGTGAAGAGTGAGTCATTTTATTTTATTTATTTATTTATTTATTTTTAAAAGATGACCAGTAAGGGGATCTTAACCCTTGACTTGGTGTTGTCAGCACCATGCTCTCCCAAGTGAGCTAACTGGCCATCCCTATATAGGGATCTGAACCCGTGACCTTGGTGTTATCAACACCACACTCTCCCAAGTGAGCCACGGACTGGCCCTTGAGTCATTTAAGGGGAAAATGGCAAATGCCACTTACGCAAGGCAGATCAAATATCCCCAAAATAGCACACTGGTCCTGGAGCTACACCAACTGCAGCCACCTGCTGGCATCTTGCTAATCACATCACTGGTCACAGTGCGTGGCTCACAGTGGATGCTCCCTAAATATCTGAGGGACAGGTGTAGTGTCTGTCTGGAAGGAAGGGCTGGGAAGAACACGCAGCATCTTCTGCCTCCCTCCCTTGTCCTCATGGCACTGATGGCACCAACCTCATAATCTTCCCAGCTCATGCCCTTGCCAGGTTCATAACTCTTTATTCCAGTTCCCCATGAACCCTTGTTTCTAGAGCTAGAATCAAGGGGTAGTTCCTTCTATCCCACACTTTCAGTGTGTTCAGCTCAAGCCGGTCATGTTTCTTTGTGGGGAATGCAGGGTCCTGCGGTGAGGGGGCTGGCTGCAGTGGCCCAGGCTATGCCCCGGCTGATGAGATGAGCTCAACAGGGACCTGACATCCCAGCTCTTGAGAAAGTTCTGGGCTCCTACTCATCCATCCATCCTCCCGTTAATATCTCAGTAGTCCTCTAACTTGGTATGTGTGAGAATCACCAAGAAGGCTCATGAAAACGCTGATTGCTGGGCCCCACCCTGTCATTTTGTTTTGAGTGATGAGCCCCTGGAGGGCAGCACCTGGGTCTCGTTGTGTCTTTAGCGGGGACATCTTAGCACCTTAGCCAAGAACACACCTGGTTGATGATGACAAGACTCAAGGGATATTTTTGTTACCCTGGATGGAGAGTCTCAGAAGGGGAAGGAGAAAAGACCCTGCTTTACACAGGATGTGAACCGTGGGAGAATCTACTAACCAACCCCCTCTGCGTAATATTCTCTAACGTGTTTCAGATCCTGACTGTACTGGTGGGCAGCCTACCTTTCTCTGTTTTATCTACAGGGACATGGTGCCTTACTTTACCTATGGAATTCAATCTGAAAATCTGAAATCCAAAATGCTCCAAAATCCAGAAATTTTTGAGTGCTGACATGATGCTCAAAGGAAATGCTTATTGCATTTTGGATTTTTAGTTTAGGGCTGCTAAACGAGTAAGAATAATGCAAATATTCCAAAATCAAACTCAAAACACTTCTGGTCCAAAGCATTTAAGATAAGAGATACTCAAGTTGTAGAAAGTTACAGGGAACATAACCTAGGTTTAGACTTATCTGTGTTCTGTTTAGTCCTTGTCATTTGCTAGCTGAGTGGCTTTGGGCAATTTACTTAACCTCACTGAACCTTTATTTTCTAGTCTGTAAAAGGGGAGAAGATCATTATCCCGCCGAGGGTTCGGATCCCATGTGGAGACCGGTTCCCACTCACTGGCTGAGCGAGGTGTTCGCGCAGCACCGAGGGTTGCGATCCCATTACCAGTCAGTAAAAAAGACAAAAAGGAAAAAAAAAAAAAAAAAAAAAAGCAGGTCATAATTTTCTTTTGCAAAATGTCTGGATTTTGTCAGCAAATGGGTACTCATTTATATTCATGAACTATTTGAAATACTCTTCTTTTTGATCAAATTGTTTGCCTCATGCCATGGGTCTTAGTCCATTCCTGTTGCTTGTAAAAAAAATACATAGAACAGGGTAATTTATAAGAAAATGAAATTTATTGCTTACAGTTTCAGAGGCTGGGAAGGCCAAAGTCCAGGAACACATTTGGCTAAGGCTTTCTTGGGTGGTGACTTCAGTGATAGCAGGTATCACATTGAGAAATGGCAGAGCAGAGAGAGACTAACCTCTCGTGTGCTATTCGTTGAAAGCCCTCAGAACTACGCCCCTGACCGCCATGACTGATCCATTCACTAAGGCATGCTCCCACAATCTAATCACCTCTCCAAAGAGCTCCACCTTTTGATTACCATACACAATAGGACTTTCCACCCTCAACGGTTACAGCGGGAATTAAGCTTCTAATATATGAATTTTGGGGACACAATTCAATCAATCTATAGCACCATGTTTCATGACCTGAGTGGGCTTGTGTGTGTGTCCCTCCTTCCACGGTCTGAGTTTGCTGAACATCTCAACAATGTCTTTAAAAATTAAAAAGGTCAGCTGCTTGTATGCAGACATCTGGGCCACAGATTCTTTTCACTTAGCATGCAGCTGCAATGTACCTGCACATAAACACTCAGTGTCCAGGCCAACTGGTATCTTTTCTCTCTCTTTCTCCCCTTCACTTCCTCCCTTTCTGTGTCTTTTAAGAAACACCAAGAGGGGAGACCCTCTGCTAGGACACTGTGGTCCACATCGCATCTAGAGGACCATGTCAAGGTCCTGGTTCCACATTTTAAGAGTGGCCCTGAGATGAGTGGCACTGAGGACAGTGACGAGGTTTCTAAACTTTCCCTTCCTGTCACATGTCTGCAGGCCTGGAGACGAGCAGCCTGAGAAGGAAAGATTTGGGGTGTGGGGGTGGGTCAGGGCATAAGCTCTGCTGGGTGGTCTTGGGAGGATGGATGAGCCTTGCTTCAGGGAGCCTGAGAGAGCTCGTGGAGGGGCCCTCCACTCACTGGACAGACAACATTCCCATTGATCCCTGAGATCTAAGAGTGAATGAGCTGCCTCGGAAGGGGGTGGTCTCTGGTCTCCATCCCAGCACGAAGCTGATCAATCAGGGCTGGGAGACCGCATCGAGTGATGTAGATTTCTGAACTGGGTTGGAGTTTGAGATGGATGTGAAGATGTCTAAGGGTCTGTGAGTTGCCATCTACAAAGCTATTTACAGTGCCCGGAGGAGGGAGAATTGCAGGGTGTGCATCTCACCACTCACCATCACTGGTTGTTTGCTCACAGACAGGCTCACTCCATTCCCCCGTTTTGTTCCAATCGAGGAGGAAGGCTTGAACTTGAACACAATAAGTGGTCCATGGCTCCAGGTTTCTGAGGATCTCAGAGTCATACTGAGGAGTAATCTGAAACTAGTAATAGAGATAAAAATAAGAATATGCATCAGCAGTGAAGGGCCACCATCCTTTTTTTCTTTTTTCTCCACACTTCCCAGTTATAATCTCTGCTTCAGACTTAAAATAGGAAGGAGCAGGTGGCAGGAGCTCCTTGCAGTTCATTTCAGGGGACCTCGGCATCATTCTAAGGGATGCGGCAAGGATTTACTCTGATGCTGACAAACCATCTGGTTTAAATGACAAGCAAACCATCTCACTTCCTTTTTTAAAAAGAAAAACCAGTTTTAAAGATTGAACTATGTCCCAAAGAAATTCATATGTTGGAGTCCTAACCCCAGGTACCTATAAAATGTGACCTTATTTGGAGATAGGGTCTTTACAGAGGTGATCAAGTTCAAATGAGGTTACTAGAGGTTACTATTAATCTCATATGGCTGGTGTCCTTATAAAAAGGAGAAATTTAGACATAGGCACACAGGGAGATGCCATGTGACTATGAAGACAGAGATGGAGTAATGGTTTTACAAGCCAAGGAATGCCAAAGTTTGCCAGCAACCCAGCAGAAGGCAGGAGAGAAACAGAACACATCCATCCCTGGCACCTTCAAAGGGAACATGGCCCTTTAGACACCTTGATCTTAAACTTTCAGCTTCCAGAACTGTTAGACAATACATTTCTGTTGCTTAAGCCACCCAGTTTGTGGAACGTTGTAATAGCAGCCCTAGCAAATGAATACACCAGTCATATGCAGTAAGATTCCATGGAGTTTCATTCTAAGTTAAGAGCATGTTTCTGCTTCTGGCTGCTTGGGGTTCTCCTCTGACTCGCTTCTCTTGTGCACCTGGGCAGCCCCTCAGAGGCCCCACCTCAGTTCGAGGGCACATACCACGGCCTGCCTCTGCTCTGGTGGTTAGCATCACCGATGCATCTTAGTTTAATTTGACGCTTCTCTTGTGCACCTGGGCAGCCCCTCAGAGGCCCCACCTCAGTTCGAGGGCACATACCATGGCCTGCCTCTGCTCTGGTGGTTAGCATCACCAATGCATCTTAGTTTAATTTGAATGTATGATATCGACACTAATGTTATATTTCTAAATTTGAGAAACCAAAATAGTTCCAGGCAAAGTGAAGAGAATTAAAAGAGTATATGAAGTGAGCACAGACTCTTTTTTTACTTTAGTAGTTGGTTATTTTTCTTTTGGGGTTGGGATTGTTGACAGCTATCTATATTCGTTTATTGTAAGAGAAGCTAAGCTCATTGAGCGCAAGAAGTGGATTATACCCATTGAATCCATGAAGAGTATGGTATAACTTGTAAGAAGTTAATTAAAGAACAAAACGCAAAATAAAACAATAAAATCCCTGGCTTTCATTTCTAGAAGTCCAATGCCTCTAAAACCTTCCAATACAATTTTTTTCAAAGATTAGACTCAGAGCCAACCCATAGCAGCAGGCAGATAAGCTGGGGACACAGCTACCTATTCAAGTCAGTTTGGTCCTTTTTCTGTCCTTTCACTTCTGGCCAGCTTCTGTTTTTATCTTCTCACTTTCTCCCATCAAGAAGAAACAGAATTTCCAGAAGCCTATCTTGCTATTAGTTTAGGAACCTAATCTGGCATAGTCTCAGGCATACTTGCATTCCAGAAGGCAACTGTGTAAACTGGTTTAAGTAGTGGTGACATTGCAGGCACCCGTGAGAGGAGAGCGTGGAGCATGAAGTCTCTCCAGCATGTGGTATGTCACACCGAATGCTTCCACATGACCAGGACGACATGAGAAGACAAGTGTAACCAGATATCCACGCTGTGGGCGTGTTCTAGATGAGAAGCTAAATATGAAGTGGGCTTTGCATTTCACATGCGGTGCCTTTCACTCAGCCAGGTCACTGTGGAAACAGACCCTTAACTGGAGTCTGCTGCTAACCCATGGAGGGGAGCAATCAGTCTTATCTCTGTGTCCCAGGACTTAGCAGGAGACACCTCCATTTGATGGATGATTATATAAAATTAAATATTCCTTCTTGCTTTCCAGGCACACATTTTCAGGGGTCTTGACTATAAGCAAAATCATCTATTCTGTGAAGAGGGCAGATATCCTGCATGCTATGGTTTGAATGTATGTGTCCCCCTCCAAATTCGTATGTTAAAATGTAATTGCCAATGTGATAGTATTAAGAGTTGGGGCCTCTAGGAGGTAACTAGGTCAGGAGGGATTGATGACCTTATCAAAGAGGGGCAAAGGAGCTGCTCACCCCCTTTGCCTTCTGCAATGAGAGGACATAGCAATGAGGTGCCACCTGGGGAGCAGAGAGCCCTTGTCAGACACTGAATCTGCTGGGGCCTTGATCTTGGACTCCCCAGCCTCCAGAACTGTAAGCAGTAAATTCCTCTAGTTTATAAATTACCTAGTCTGCAGTATTTTGTTATAGAGGCACAAATGGATTAAGACACTGAATCATTTAATGGAGCATTTTCTGGGGGAAAAATTTAACTTGAGACTTTTTTTTCAGGGTGCGCAGTGTGTATACATGAATTTAATTACATCATTCCTAAGATAATAAACGTGATTGATCCCTTCCTCCCGAACTCTTGAGAATTAAGTAATAAAATCAATATTTAATATGGAGGTGATACATATGTATAATATAACTTACATAACATACATGTCAGTTTAGGACCACAGATAGCATTCATCTCCGAAGCACTAAGTGTAAGAATAAAACCTGATCAAGGATGAATGAAAATAGCCTTAACATGTCTACATAGGAGAAGGACCCTCAGCTTTGACCATATACATTGTTTCAGTCAATGGGACAAATTTATGTTTTTCGTTATGTCATTAAATTCCCCAACACTCCTCTAAATTAGGTTATTGTCCCTGTTTTATTAATGAAACAGGTTATTGTGTCCATTTTACAGACATTAGGAAGCTAAGGTCAGAAATGTGACCAGAGCCACACAGTGGCAGGGGAAATATTCCAATCGAGTCCTTAGAGTCCAAGCCCATGTTTTTTTTTTTTTTTTTTTTTGTCTTTTTGTCTTTTTTCCGTGTCCGGCAACGGATCGCAACCCTCAGTGTTGCCCCCCTACCCGACCCGGGGC